AAAATTCAAACAAATCTCAAATGGAAAATAACAATACGTTATTTACTCTCTCCAGGATCCAGGAAAGTTTGCGGGGGGGGGGTTCAGGTTCGCCAGGTTTCAGGTTTGCCACTCCGTAAAATCCAAAAGTATAGGGGGCTGGCACTATTCTTTCAATAGGTCGTTGTTTAAATCCGACGATCGTGAACTCCCGCTGGCTACGCCTCTAGATTGTTGCGGACAGGCGGGCATAGAGGTAATTATTATTAGTATCATCAAGCGCAGATCGGGAGGGGGGAGGGGATGGTCCCCCCCCCGCCCAGCTCCGACTCAATTGTTTTCCCATAGAAATACATAAAAAAATAATGTGAAATTCCTCCTGCTCTGACACCCCAAAATAATAATACTGGTAATAATGTTCGGCTTTGCAAAATTACGGGGGGAATTTTTACTGTATAATGTTATATATAGTGTTAATGATGGTCGGATTTGAACAGCGTCCCCACTGAAACTAGGGTACGACCCCCTCCACCTATTAATTTTGCGGAGGCCAAGTGACCGGAATGAAAAATTGCTGATGAAATCCCCCTCCGCAAAAATTCCTGGATCTGCCCCTGAATCGATTCATTGTTATAGATTTTGTTTATGTCAGAGTGGGGCGGGGGTGGGGGTGACCCCCCCCCCCCCAAACCACCCCTCTGTGTCGACATCTGTTTATCGCAAATAAATATTTGAGAAAAAGCCTGAGCTTGAAGTTCTCACCGTGGCGAAAGTCACCTCATTAGCAAGTTGAGAGGGATCATGCCTTGGATCATACATTGGTCTGCACAAATCAGCTTGTATTAATTTCCCAGCCTAAGAAAAGGTGCGAATATAATACATTTCTATTCTAACAAAGTGTAACATAAGGATAATGACTGTTTGATCAAGAAAGAATGTAAACACGACTGTAAAATACCACAGAATAAAGCATGAATTGTTACAAAGTGCAAAAGTTTTCTGGACTCTGTTACAGCAAAGTGGTTAAACAGTTTGTAAAAAAGGATAAAGTTAAAAAACCAGGTGTTTTTGTGTGTCTTAACAATTAAAATTAACGTTATTGTAGATTAGGAGGTTATTGCCAATTTATGATCAGCGATGAAATGGGACTGCTGCGTTGGCGAACTGTGGAATCACATTTTGAAATGCTTACAAATCATATTTCATCAGCAGTTTTGCTCATTACTGAAAACCAACACACGTACTGGTCCCGCTCAACCTGGATTTGGGGAAAACAATGAGATATGGCATTTAATGCCGGGTTATGGTTATGCAAATTGTGTGCCAGGTCATAATTTTAAAATATCTATCTCTTATTCATAACTGTATCGGAAACAAATTTTACTACACTATCAGTCAAGCTTTGTTACACTATCGGGTGGTGATACGTTATCCGTTGGGTACTACATTATCAGTTGTAACAAATGTATATTGTATTTACCCAAAACGATAGCGCCCTACAATTGTGTCCGCCATAATGTCCAATAGGCTAATTGATTAATAATGTCGCCTGCTAATACAACTAATCGAACATAGAGGGAGCTTGACTTTGATGCAGACATTGCAGAGCCATTTATCAAATCTCGGCGGAGATAAATTGCAAGAAGAGTTCTGATTGATTGCGAGAGAGCTCGAAAAAATATCGAGCTTAAGCAGAACATTAGAACAAAGACGAGCACAAAGCTTCAAAAAATTTAAAACGATTCAGACTTTGAAAAAGAAGTCAAAAAAACGGATAGGCAAACAGCTGATGAAAGAAAAAAATCTCAGTTCGAATTCTCTGTAAATAAACATTATAAGGCAGACCTACCCACTTACAGCGCGATGCCCTCCGCCCCACCTTTATGGTAGTGATCGTCGTATCTTTCTAAAGCTTTATCAAATTGATTTTGAGTCACTTTAAATAAAACTCTTACTGGTTCTTTGTCTGATCCAAAAACGTGATAATAACACACCGCTATTAAAGATCTTTTGACACATCCGTTTCCCCTCAATGTTTTGTAATTAACGAGCTCGTTATATTTATTTATCGTTTCTTGGACGTCTTCTGAGTCTTGCTCTGGAGACACGTCTAATCAATGTATTGAGACTTGTCTCTTGTTTTTTTAAACTTGTCTAATTGATATATTGTCCTTGCGCATTTTCTGCCGAAAAATCTAAGTAACGTGAAATTATAAGACTACAAGTTTCAAAAATTAGGAATCTATTCTCGATGATAATCGGATGATCGCATCGATCTGTTTCTGTCGTCGGTGTTTTAAAAAGATTCATTTATTAGAAATGATTTATTTTTTCATATACAATTTTCAATAATAAAAAAACCTCTCTATCCTTCATAAAGATATAGACACTGAGATATTGTGAGATATTTGGGGTTTTGGTCTGGTGCCGGCCCCTCCAAGACAGAGACATTTTGTCTAGTACCCCCACTTATAATAAAACTCAGAGACAGAGAGGGATCTTCAAGACGAGAGATATTGGGGATTTGTTCTAGTGCCGGCCGAGTCCCTGTAATGTCTAGAACTCTCACTTATAATATAACAACTCAGATACAGAGAAATATTGGGGGTTTTGGCTCAGTACCCTCCACCCTTGCGGGTCAAAAAAGGGGTATATATTTTAAGCTATTGGTCCTGTACCCCACCCATGTCTATGGAAAAGTCTAGTACCCTCCACCTTTCGCTACTCATGCAGTGACGGGATCCACCTCCTGAACGCTCGGAGAATTTCGGGGAACTTGTGGAAAATTTGATTTGAGGAATTTTAGGAACATTCGAAGTTTCACTTCATGTAATTAAGTGTGGAATAGCTAAGTGAAGAAAATTAAGAGTATTTAAAAAGAGATTGTACCGTCTTGTTCTGAAATTGTAACTCAATCAATTTAATTAAATCTTAGTGAATCAGTGTGAGATCTTTGTACTGGTTTCTATCCTCTATTTAATTAGTGTTTTATCCGTGTGCATGATCCAACTTAAGTACAGGATAGACCTACCACACACACAGTGTCAACACTGCCCAGAAGTGGGATCCTTACAAAGTGCCGCCGTAGACAGGATAGGGTACACAATGTTTACCTATCAAATCTACTATTACTAGGCCTGATGTATTTCTTTAATGTCTAATACTCCAATCCGTACATTTACAACAATTTCAAGTGAAAAGAAATTAGTTTAATTGATGGTAAAATAGAAAAAAAGAAGGCCTTCAACTTTAAAACTGATTTTTTTTTCTCAAAATGCATTTTCCCCTTCAAGTTACACCCTTTCACCGCAATAAGGCGTAAGGTACAGTGCTAATTTGGTTTGGCAATCCATTTACAAATTATAAATGTTCTATCGGCATAATAAGGACATACCCCCTTGAGACTAATGTTCGTCAGAAACCACCTGTTCGATGCATCGGCAGGATTCCCCTCCATTTCGCACACGTCTCTGTCATACCGTAACCTTACACGTATCTGAAACTAGGTTTACTAATTTACTTCTTTTCAGGCAACAAGTAAAAGAGCACAGATTTGGACACCAGGAACAGTACAAGTTCACTCGACCCCAACGACCTCTTTCGGAGGGAACACCTCCTTTGGCGAGGGCGCCCTTCTTTGAAGACGGCGGTGGAGACTAGCAAGCAGTTCAAGTTAATTGTCACTAGCAAACAAGGGGCGCTATTCAAAGGAAACAAGACTTAACACCGTCCGACGCAATATGTAGTTGTTACAGTTCACCTTTTACTGACAAACCGGTCTGCTGACCATTTGGCAGACAAGAGCGACAAACTGGGTGCCAGCACACCACATCTCCCCCACGTCTGGTGAAGCCCCTGCCCCTAACATACCTTTCAACAGGCTGAGATGGAAAGGCATTCTAGGACTACTGTCACCCTATTTAGCCTCACTCTTTCACCATCTTCTTAAAACCCATCAATCAAGAACGCACCCGCGAACGCACCCGCCTCAGCCTCTATTAACTCTCAAACCCAATCCAACCTGACCCCCATCCCTGCCCCTAACAGTCGCATCAAGAACTACAATTGGTGGGGGAGGGAATTTGTGTAAATTACAAGTGCCTGACCTCTGGCAAGCTGGCCGTTGCAAATTCGAGAAAAAAACAAAGGGATGGGGCGAGCTCATTTGACACCGGGCGTACCTTTTTTCTGTCTAATACAATTTTAATAATGAGTGGAACGAACGATATTAAGAGTAGACAGCATGGTTTTGAAAGAGAGGTAGGCCTATTTACTTGTTCTCTTGTTTGATTAAAAACTCATATATAATTTGAAGTTTTTTAAAGGGGAAGGGGTGGGGGTGAGGAGCATGCCCCCTTCATCTCTCAACACCAACCTACCCAGGCCTCAACCCTTTCCTACCCCACTTACTCGAAACCCATATCCTCAAAACCCTCAACCATCAATCTCCAACACCCTTCATCTACAAACCCCATCCATCCTCAACTACCAAACCCGACCCTCAAACACCCACATAATAAAACGTTGAAAGACCCCTTTCTAGAAACACACATTTTCCAATTGATTCAATTTGGGATGTGAGCCATTTATTGGTAAATCAGTTTATGAGCTGGGGTCTGAAGACATTTTTTTCAATTACAAATGCTGACATTGTGAGCATGAGTGGATTCAGTGGGCATGATCCTACAACATAACTTAGAAACCTAAAAGAACGTACACAATCCGCACCGATCCGCACGGATTATATGTTTTCAGTATATTTATCAGTATGCTGCAAGATTTTGTTTATGATGCTTATACACAGTGCTAAAACGAAGCAATCCAAATTATTCGTTATTCCAATGCTGTAAAACACATCTGTGAATGGGCTGATGAAAATATCAAATATAGTATTTATTATTTTGATAACATTGAAAATTAATTTTACTAGACTTACTCATTGGTTATATCTTTCTGGTAGACGGAGGATCATGCAAAAGCAATCAGATGTGTGATTGTGCATATTATGCGTGGTTATATGTCTATTCGGGGTAAAGGAGGAAGCCACTGAATGAGGTGTAGTAGTGCATAGAAAAACTACCCGCCTTTCCGGTAAAGGTAAGATACACCGTGTCTTCTCGCTGCAGAGCCAGCACCGCGCTCCCAGACACTTGCTCCGCATAATTCGGATCACCGCTATGGCCAGAGACAACCCAGTCGTCGTTCTTCCTCAGATGAATCCACATGCCGCCGCTGGAATCATGTTTCAGCACAGAAAACATAAACACGTAGCTGCCCGGGACACTACACGTGAATGTGCCGGTATCTAGATCGAAGCTGGTACCCGACAAAAGCGTCTTGGTCGCCTGGAAGGGCAAACGGGCGTCTGGAGTCGTAGAGGTATCCGAAGGGCTCGTCCTCACCACGGTGAAAGCTACCTGCTGGTTAGAGTCGTCCGGTGACACCCCCGGCTCACCCTTTTGACCTTTGACACCAGTTTCCCCAGTCGATCCGGCTGAACCTGGTGGACCTATCTTGCCGGGAAGGCCTATCCCATCGTCTCCTTTATGGCCAATCCCTCCAATCTCACCTTTTGGACCTACATTGCCCCTTGACCCCGGACAGCCCGGCGCACCTGGAATTCCGGGTATTCCAACCGCACCTGGAATTCCGGGTATTCCAGCCGGTCCCTGGAAACACATTTGACACACCTCATCATACGCAGGACAATCCCCGTCCGAGGAAGCCGGCCCAGTAACGGAAGCTCGAGGCTTGACAGAGTTATCCATAATGAGGGCGATTGAAAGAATGGTTGCCATGCAGATCTTCATTATTCTGTAAAGAAAAAAAATGAAATACGTAAATATGGGGAAAATGAAGTGAGGGATGATGGCATAAAAATGCTGAGGTCATAGAAACTGGGGAATTACATCGAAGTAACACTTATGAAAGGTTACCGTCGTTTGAAAAAAACTCATATTTGCACGTTACTTACGCCTTTGAGGACTTATTTATGAATGTATCATTAATTGAAACTGTTGCATTTCCAATAACATTTCTTTATACTCGTAATTGAAAGAATTTCACAGACAAAAAATGAAGGCAAAACTTAAGAGTGAACCAGTCGTCCAGATTCTTTTGCGACGAATCCGCTATTTTTTGGGAACACCAAGCGTACCATTGATGGCGTTTCTAAATAAACGTTATTCGTCCATCCATTATGTGATGTTGTCAATCTATTATGTGCTGTTGTCAATACATTTTGTTGTGTCGTCAATCTGTTATGTGATGTAGTCAATCTATTCTGTGATGTTGTGAATCTATTATGTGTTGTAGTCAATACATTCTGTGATGTCGTCAATCCACTTTCTGATGCCGTCATTCAATTAATGCATTACGTGGTGTGATCAAGGCAATATGTCAAGTAGTCGACATGAATATATAGCTCCTGCCGTGTATCTATTATGCGGTGTTATAAATGCATTACGCTGTCGCTCCATTTGTGGAGCTATCCCTGCACGTAGCACATATATGGCGTGCACCATTAGTAGTTTTCAGTTGGTGCAGATGAGCCCTTTGTTAGCTAGCTGTCCGTTTTTCACCCATCCCGTAATCAGCAATAGCCTTACCCTGGAATGTTTAGAATCATTCAAATCACTCTTGTACATTTCAAGTTACGGAATTTTAAACAAAACGAACGTTTTAAAGTTCACGGATCACAAAAAGGAGTGCGTTCTTTCAGCAAAACGAAAACAATTCACACGCATCCCTATGCAATTTGTTTTCATTTGCTGAAAGAACACTTATGTGCTAGATTTTGTGTGTCATTTTGTAATGTAACAATATAGCGCCATTATATGCCACACGGCATATTCCCTAACATACCTGGGAGTTTATCCTCATTATAAACATAAAAGTATAACAAATAGCCCGTGACATTCCACACGGACTATACCGGCCGCATGTTCCAGCGGTTTGAACAATTGACGGTATTTTACTTTTCTAAGAAAGTTTTCTTGAATAACTAATTTATTGACCTTTATTGTCTATGGGTTTACTAAAGTGATTCCAATTGAGTAGCTAACATTTTCAGTGTTGCTTCTTTGTTGAGTGGTCATTGGTATCACTATCTACAATCACTGCTCATTGTTGAGTTATTACGGTAGTCAGGGGTTTTGCCATAATATGTGTCTGGTTTGCCCTACTTTTATGGTATTCCCGTAAACTTGTAATACAACAACGGCAGTTGGAGGTTTGTGGTCATGGGTATCACTATGGGTATCCATGGGGGTCGGTGTTCCCATAGGAAAAGTCCCATATAGTCAGCGTCTCTTACAGCCTCTCCTAATCAAACTCCTACTTCCCGGCTTCTAGTACCGACCCCTGTCTTTGAACAGAGGGCAGAGTTGTGCAAGGCGAGTTTCCGGCGCCTTAAAACCAGATTGCTCCGTGCAGGTGGGGCTCGTTAGCCATGGTAGGTAGTTCACCTAGGAGAAGGAAAACTCTGATTTCAAACCCGGGCAGGTAGGGCTCGTTAGCCATGGTTTGCAGTCTACCTATGAGAAAGAACATTCCGATTCTAACACCCTTCACTAGGCAACAGTGGTGACAGTACCGTTTCACAGGCAGACGAGCTTCTTAAAACGTCAATGGCAGGTCCGGATTTTATCTGCGGCAGAAAAATTTTCCCAGATACTGCGGGACCGTTGCTACATTCTCCAACCGCTTAATGTTTATCTCCTTGAATCACTCAGGAATACATCAACAACACATTAGTCATATAGAGTAGACAAAACAGTAGCAATGTAGAGGTCCGCTGGCGAACTCTCCAGTAATCAATCTATGATGCAGCATCATCATCACTCGGGCACCCTACCCGCACAAATGCGGACTGGTACGATGAGAATGACAGTAACATTCAAGACCGCTCAAAATGTATATGCTTCCCTGACAACCATAATGGTGGCTCATCATCCTGTCCTGTGCTATCGTTTGATGAAACCACCCTACTAACAAAGCAGTCAGATATTCTTAGCCGCTTGAAGGATCACTTTAAGGTTCTCCTCAACAGGCCTTCTACGGTGAGAGACCACTTTCTGCAATTTGTGGACCAACACCCCACTCTGGAATATCTCTGCAGCCCACCTACTTCAAAAGAATGTGCAGACGCTGTTAAGGCTATGGCAAATGGCAGGGCACCATCCCAGCGGAAATATACAAACATGGACGGGATTCCTTGCTCCACGCTATACTTGGCCTGTTTACAGACTGTTAAAAGGTCGAGGACATCCAACATTCCTTTAGAGATACTAAGATTGTTCCAATCTTCAAACGCAAAGGAAACCGTCAAGATTGTAACAGTTACAGAGGCATCTCACTGCAATGTTTCGCAGTGAAAATCCTGGGGAAGATGCTTCACAAGCGACAGCAGGTCATCAGTGAATCAATCCTACCAGACACACAAAGCGGCTTCCGCAGCGGTCGCAGCACAACAGACATGATATTCACCCTTCAGCAGATCTAGGAGAAGGCAATTGAACAAGATTGCCTTTATTCATCGTCTTTGCATATTTCACCAAGGCATTCAATTCGATCTGTCGAAAAGCTCTATGTAAGATCCTAGCAAAGAATGGATAACCACTTAAAACTGATCACGTTGTTTTGACAGTTTCACGATGGCACATGTGGCAACATCAGGCTCAACATCTCAGCTATTTACAGCATCCAACGGCGTCAAACAGCGTTGTTTTGGCTCCAATGCTGTTTACTATGTTCATTGCAGATTCTGGAGATTTTTTTCCAATGAAGTCGATGGGGGAGTTTTCATCTACACTAAATCTGACGGACAGCTGTTTAATCTCCAACGGCTGCGTGCCAAATAAAATACATCACAACTATGTGTGCGTGAGTTCTTGTACGCCAACGACACTTCATTTGTAGCACACTCCATGCCTGCCATCCAGCACCTCATCACTAAAATATGCCGATACGCGATATTACAGGTTTCGGCCTCGCAATTAAAATAAACACAGAGGTAATGTACCGACCATCTCCCGGGGAGACCTACAAGAAACCAGAGGTATACATCAACGAAACACTCCTGAACGCCGTCAACAAATATACTTACCTTGATAGCACAGTGACCAACGACAACAGCCTTGACATGGAGCTAGCAGCAAGAATCTCCTCGGCATCAGGCACTTTTGGCCGTCTCAGGAAGAGGCTTTGGTCTCAACGGGGCTTCAAACCTGCCACCAAATGCAGTGTGTACAGAGCCATAGTATTGCCTTGCCTCTATAGAAAACACATTAACAAACTTTCTAATATCCAGCTGCGCCATGTTTGGTCGATCCTTGGAATCAAATGGCAAGATCATGTAACAAATGCAGAGGTCCTCGAACGTGCCGACATGCCGAGTAAAGAATCAATCCTGATGACAAAACAACTCTTGGGCTTGGCACACCGTCAGAATGGACGACAAACGTACACCACAGGCATTACTCTACGGAGAGTTTTTCCAAGGATACTGCAAACATCGAGGTCAGCCAAAACTGCTCTTCAAAGACTGCCTAAAAGACAAATTAAGGCTGCAAATAATTATACCCATAGGTTCATGGGAGACCATAGCCAAGTCCAGGCAAGACTGGCGCCATGCTGGTAGGCAAGGCACGTAGGATGCAGAATCCCAACGCAACCAGCAAGCAGAGACCAGGCTTATAAGAAGGCACCGGTAACTTCAACCAGACTTCAGCCACACCCCTCCTTCCAATGTGTCTGGAAAATTTCCAGCCGCATAGGTCTGTAACAGCGCAGTTGCAACTTCAGTGCACTCACCTGACTTCAAGATGCCGAAGTCATTCTCGATATCGAGTGACAGCTGGTGATGATGATACAGTGGTCATGGGTACCTCCTAATGTTTCCAGTTTGCCCTACATTTTTGTATTCCGGTTCAGTTTCTTGAATTAAACTTGAAGCTGTGGCACACACACAGATTTCTTTGTAAACACCGGCAATCGTGGACCCCATTGTCTCTAATCCTCATTCCTTTGTTTGTACTATAACTTTTTAGCAACAGCTCTCATTGGTTTTGTACACGAATTTCAATCGTGGAATATCGGTCAATCGTGGATCCTTTGTTTGCCCCTAACCCTTTTGTCCCTAGCCCACGAGTGCCGGTGTTTACATACTCTCACACACCCAGGTGTTTGTATACTCATGAGGACCGGCCATTGTTCCCTTTTGTTTGTACTAACGTTTTCTCGACAGCTCCCATAATGTTTGTACACGAAATTCTCCCGAGGACTGGGCCCAGGTCCTCGGGGTTATTGTTATTGCACACACCCCATTGTCCCAAGTCCTCAGTCGTATAGGATGACATGTGCACGTATACATTTCTTTCAAATTCCAGATAACTACATTCAATTTCCGACATTATTTTGTTTTATATAGAAGTGTATGTGGTAAGAAAAACAATGTAAAATATGACATCTTTGATTACCTGCGTATGCATTATATACATGTATACAGAATGGACAACTATTATTTGGATACAAAAATATAGCATTGCCAGGTATAATATCCCTAATATCTCTGACTCTCCCTCTTTTCTTTAATGAATATAAAAATCAAATGTGTTGAATAGATCAAATCCTCCGATTTTTTTATCCCAACTATCAGATCATTAAAAATTTGGTTACGTGCAGTCACAGGGAATGAGTTGGCTTCCATTTGTAAGACTCATGTACTTGGTACTTAGCCATTGGGCTCAAAAGTATTCAACATGTTCCATGTTCTAGGTTACAATGTATCCATAAAAAAAATCATAACCAA